AATTCGTCAAGAAGGGAGAGCCTCCCATGGTTGGAATCACCAAGTTGGACGGCGTGACTCTAGAAGAGTTGAAAAGACCTCGACGACACATTGCTCCCGTTGAACTGCTGGAGGCTTCGTCGCCTACAACTGAGACTCTGGTCGGGAGCACTTCTGAAGCTTCCCGCAACCCCTAGAGATTTAGACTGATGAGACAATGCCATGTACATTATAGAGGTGCAGATCTGTTGTTGTAACTTGTATGAATACCAAATTCTGGATCTACTAATTCTGGAAATAAACAAAATGAGATTTATATTCAATAGTCTTACAACAGCATAGAACCGCCGATAAAGTTCATATTTTCTTGGCGACCATCAATGCTTTTCCTTGTCGAAACAATTTTAATTCGTGTAATACCTATCCTATCGCTCGTTGCCTGCTGAACGGATGTCGGTCACACTTGGATGCTGTGCACGGTCCACTTCATTTTCAAGACATCATCCACTCTGCCACTTTACGCGACAACGCGTCTTCCACCATTCCCCAAAAAGCTGTCTCGACACAATTCTCATCTCCAGACCAAGCAGCTTCCACGATGGCACTTATTGTTGACAAGCACCGACCTCGGTCTCTTGAGACCCTCACATACCATAATGAGTTGTCAGATCGTCTTCGCTCTCTTGTAAGTCAATAAGCCTGGCCTGGATGAGCAGCATTGTTGACTAGTATCACTTTCAGGCCCAGAGCGGTGACTTTCCTCACCTACTTGTGTACGGACCTTCAGGTGCTGGAAAGAAAACCCGAATCGTCGCTACGCTGAAGGAGCTCTATGGACCAGGTGTGGAGAAGATCAAAATCGATGCTCGAGTATTCCAGACGACTAGCAATCGAAAGCTCGAGTTCAACATTGTCGCCTCCGTCTATCATCTCGAAATCACACCATCCGACGTTGGAAACTACGACAGAGTTGTTGTTCAGGACCTTCTTAAAGAGGTTGCACAAACGCAACAGGTGGATCAATCAGCGAAACAAAAGTTCAAAGTCGTGGTCATCAACGAAGCGGACCACCTGACGAGAGATGCACAAGCAGCTCTGCGACGAACGATGGAAAAGTACTCGCCCAACCTACGACTAATCCTCTTGGCGAATTCGACTGCCAATATTATTGCTCCGATTCGCTCAAGAACTCTACTGGTCAGAGTAGCGGCCCCAACGCACGAGGAAATATGTGATGTGCTAGCCGTATCGGCGAAGAAAGAGGGCTGGCCCGTTGTGGAGGGTCTTCACAAGCGAATAGCGGAGGAGAGTGGACGAAACCTTCGACGAGCTCTCTTGATGTACGAAGCCGTCCATGCACAAAAGTACGTTTCCCCTAACGAAGTTGATGGCGTGAAGTAAAAGCTAACCTAATTGATAGTGAGAAAGTCACTGATAGCACAGTCATCCCACCGGCAGATTGGGAAGCCCTTATCGGCCAGATCGCAAAGGAGATCCTGGAAGAACACTCGCCAGCCAGGATCCTGCAGGTGCGGTCAAAGCTTTACGACCTCTTGACACACTGCATCCCCCCCACTACTATCCTCAAGACCTTGGCGTTCAAGCTGATTGCCCTCATTGACGATGGATTGAAGGGCGAGGTTATTCAGTGGGCGGCTTTCTATGAGCATCGTATCAAGACCGGAACCAAGGTTATATTCCATCTGGAAGCTTTCGTGGCGAAGTTCATGAGAATTGTCGAGATGTATTTGATGAGTATGGATATGTAATTATACTAGAGGATATTCGGCGTTTAGGAAGGTTGATGTAGCAAAATCTACGGAACTCGACGGTACGTGTGTGTCGATGCTTCACTCTATCTCACTACCAGTCATAACTCTTGTAATCTACTGCATGATATAAGCTGGTAAAGGAGAATCATGGTCATATTGTGAAGTGACTGGACAAGAGATATTGGCTCTAAAGAGTACACACGGGTCTCGTTAAACGTCAAACTTGAAATACCTTACTATAGAAACATACCGTGGAGCCCCGGACCCGATACGGAGGGTCATGATGAAGCGGGGGATGACGATGGGGAAACGGAACCTTGTTTAGATACCGTGTGCCTGGCTAGAACGCATGGAGAAATGGAAGGAGTATTATTGGCTATATGGTATTTCCTACAAGTTGGAGAGCATCACTGATACTGACAAACTTACCATGCTAAGTCCGTTGTTGGTCTTATATAGAGATGCCTGTTTGGTAAGTTATTATATCTTTTATTTCAGCTTCTTTAGCGGCCAGGATGAGAAGAGATCTGTAAAACTTAAGCCAGCTAGTTTATTGCGAATATGGGAGTAATCGGTATCCTCTTCAGTAACTTTAGTGAAAAACAAAAGTTTACCGTGTGATGGCGCATTCACCACTGAGAATAACCGCGGGAACTCATGGGGAAGACCGGCTGGATGAGAGGAGGAGCCAGATCTGACCTCCGTAGTGTGTGCGTGAACTGTCTTTCCAACGAGTGCAAGTTCAGGATACCGCATAGGAAAGGAAAGGCGGTCATGGCAAACGGACAAGTTCCATTCGTTGATTGCATCACTTTATGACAATATCTCGGTCGAGTCCCGAAGATACGGCCAGCCGGCAACATTCTAGATCTAAAGCGTGGCTGGAATTACGGGTGAAGCCACAATCTTGGGGGTTCAGTGGCTTCGGCTATGAGATGCACGTCGAACCGACCGTTGGGGCACAGATCAACATGGGGACAGGGATTGACTTGAAAGATTGACACGAGGATACCAATTGGGGACGGTCATCATGATGGGCGATCTTGCGGGAAGCTAGCGGCGACACGGAGAATCGCTTTAGCCTTTATTTTTCGTTACAGAATCTATGAAATTAGTGATCTTTGAGACACATGTTGTACACATGTTGGTAAATGCAGTAGCACGTAGAACAATGTCCTCGTCTCCAAATTTGTGTTATATATGTTCGAGTCACTTTGGTACACAATCTCCAATACCGTACCAAAGGTGCTGCATCAGAAATATGTAAAAAAACACATTCTCCAAAAGAGGGAAGTATAGAGTACATACAGTATTCTCTACAAAGACCCGCAGAGGGACAACGGAAATGTCCTAACAAACTCAACTTTGTTGAGGGAACTCACAGGGAATTAGACCCTGAATGTTTAGCCATGAAGGGGCGAAGTCGGAGGCTAAGATAGGCCAATCAAGTTGTACAAATCTTGACCCCGAATGCGGGGGGCGTGTGAGGGGCATCTGCAGCTGCCACGCTGCAACAATGTGGGGTCAAATTGAAGCCCATTAAAACCGATTGCCTCGAAACGGCAATAAGAGCACAGCCAGTAGATAAGGAAACACGCCGTATATCCTGTTGCAGACATTACTGCTGGAAGTGTCGCCAGTTGGGAGCCAGAGCACTGAACCCTCCGAACAGGGCACTCATCGTGGTAGCGATCTCGGCTCGCTGTCGACAGACAGGGTCAGTGTTGTCCTGCATTCGCGAAATGCAACGCCTTAACCGGGTTCCACTAGATTGCCGGCCTCCCAAAACTCCACCTCCTTCGTGACTACGATCAATCACATAACACGTTTTGGCTATCAGTACTCTTCTGTGTGCGGCCCCATAGCGGCTCCGTCATTTTGGATCAAGGAGAGGCAAGAAAACTTCAGGAACTCAATCCTAAATGACAAAAAGACTTAGGTAAACTTAGGTGAGGCTTAACTAACCTTTAGACTAATTAGTTTTGACATCTAAACTTAAGGTCTGAAGTTTTCTTGCTCCCTGAGGTGGATGCATCTCTTCCCAAGGCTGTTCAATCATACTTCCTGAGTAATGTTCTGTAATATCTCAATCATAGTAGCCGGGATGTTACACTGGCGGTGATGACACACCTAATTGTGCATGCTTTGGCTGTCTGTCTGCTGGCTGACATCACCGGTTCTGTTTAAGAAATAATCTTCTGTTGACCTTGAAGCATTTGTCTATCCGGCTGCCGCAGATAGTTCGGCAAGCTAGCTAGTACAGGGATTTTATGATGCCAATTCTTGATAGGTGGATATGCCAATGCATCGTCGATGATATCAAATTCGAAGTCATGTTACTATGCAGCATGAGCCTCCAGCAATGAGAGCTGAGAAGGTACCAATGCTAGTAGAAACTCTAGTATCTCATTACCTATTATCTCAAGTATATTTCTCTTAATTTAATTCATCACTAACAACAGAGTGCGACATGTCAATGATTATGGCTGCCTACCTAGGTAACGTCCAGTGGAAGCCTGAAGAAGATACGACCATCCTTAATTATCGGGGGCAGTGCTACGTAATTACGGCATGTATCATTCAACCAAGTCGAAGTGAACTTTCTCTGCGCTGTGTTTCAGTAGAAAATGACAAGAAAAACCAGCATAGGCCAGACAGCGTGGTAATAAAGCAGATGGTAGCATTCAGGCCATCGTGTTATAAGGAAGACAAAAGCAGAAAAGCTAGTGAAACCAATAATGCATTCTTTCTCGGGCGTAGGGCTTCGGGCTAGAACCGATGCGGTCTGATATGGATAAATGGCCGAGAGGATAATAGGATACATGGCGCGGCAAAAGAGTATCAAATGTAGCGGCCACAGTCCACAAGTTCTTGTATGTATATCACATTGGCATTTGTGTAATGCCGACGTCAAGTCGCATCTTATTTCCAAGGCTCATATTGCTGACGGGCAGATGCCGTGCTTAGGATATTGGCCACTCTGAATGCCGAGAATTCAAGTGTGAATCTTTGGTGACGATCAATAACGACTATCAAACTTTCAGGTTGTATGCACTATTACAGAATTACCAGCGGATGTGAGTCGCTAACTCGCTACTGGTTATTCGGGACTTGAGGTGGCTCGGGGGAAAGGATCACGGCAAGACCCCCCCGGTTCGCCGGCCGCAGCTCGGGTTTGGTGCCAACACCACTGAGACTGATCCCAGTTGGTGCAGGTACCAGTGACAAGTCACAACGGCCGGCCGGGCCTTCCAATGATGAGAGACCCATTTGCCATAAAGAAAGCTCCCCCCGCAAGCCGGACCTCATCAAACCTTTGGATCCGTCTCAACTATTTCTCCAGCTCCTCCCCCTACTCTAAATCCAACTAAACACTTCCTCTCTACTTTACTCTTCATTGTCTTCTCCAACCTCTCCTCCAATTCAGGTACCTACAACTCAACTGCGCGATCTCTGTATCTCCATAGAACAGCAACACCGAAAGCTGTAAGTCCTGCAAGTACAAGCAGTTCTGACAAGCTACACGGTCACGCTACCCCGCCATCAACGTCGCACCTGCAGGCGCAACGCTCAACGAAAAAAAAAACTATTTTGAAATCAACCCCCAGCGACAGACACAATGGCAACCGCCGTCGAGCAACCCCAAATGCCCCAGGAGCTCAGGACTTCGGCTCCCGAGTCTCTCCCCAAGAGTGCCATCCCAGCTGCCGTCGCTTCTCCCGTTCCAGCTCCTGCAGCCACCGAAACTGTCTCATTGAGAGCTGAGGAGGCTCCCGCTCCCGCTCAAGAGACAAAGGCTCCTGTAGTCGCTGAGGCTCATCTCGTTGATACCTACCGTAAGTTTGCGCAACCAACTTTACCTGTCGTTGGAGCTGCATCGCTAACTTTCAGCTTAGACCCTCCTCAGCGCATGTTTGCTAGTATGTCAATTGCGCCCCTTTGTTTTCTATTGAGGCGAAATTACTCGCCGTAGTGTCTCCCGCTAGACCCTGCTGTGTGGTTCTTTGCTTATTCTTGACTCCATCGTGCTCCGTTTACCTGGCTCATACTAACCTTGCAACCCGGCAGAGCATCCCCACCGGCCCCACCTTGCCAGTAAGTGATCCCGGCTTCCGCACCGGAGCCTCAACATGAGCTGACCCACTCTCATAGACCTCGAAGAATACAAGCGACTTTACAAGGAATCCATCACTCAACCCGAGAAGTTCTGGGCTGAGCGCGCACGCGAGCTCATCTCCTGGGACCGCGACTTCCAGACCACCCGAAGTGGTTCTCTTCTCAATGCTGATGTCTCCTACTTCAACGAGGGCCGCCTGAATGCCTCATACAACTGTGTCGACCGTCATGCTTTTAAGGACCCCGATCGTGTTGCCATCATTTATGAGGCCGACGAGCCCACCGAGGGTCGCAATGTCACCTACGGAGAGCTCCTCCGAGAGGTCTCTCGTACTGCCTGGGTTCTCAAGCAGATGGGTGTCCGCAAGGGCGATACCGTTGCTATCTACCTTCCCATGATTCCCGAGGCCATCATCGCTCTCATGGCCTGTGTCCGTATTGGTGCCGTGCACTCCGTTATCTTTGCTGGTTTCTCTTCCGACTCTCTCCGCGACCGTGTTGTCGACGCCGGCTGCAAGGTTGTCATCACAACTGATGAAGGCAAGCGAGGTGGCAAGTTGATTGGCACGAAGAAGATTGTTGATGACGCTCTCAAGCAGTGCCCTGCTGTTGAGAACGTCCTTGTCTACAAGCGTACTGGCTCAGAAATTCCCTGGACCAGCGGCCGTGACTTCTGGTGGCATGAGGAGGTTGAAAAGTGGCCCAACTACTTCCCTCCCGAGCCTGTCGCTTCCGAGGACCCTCTATTCCTCCTTTATACCTCCGGCTCCACTGGCAAGCCTAAGGGTGTCCTGCATACAACCGCCGGGTACCTCCTCGGCGCTGCTATGACCGGCAAGTATGTCTTTGACATCCACGAGGGCGATAGATACTTCTGTGGTGGTGATGTCGGCTGGATTACCGGTCACACCTATGTCGTTTATGCTCCTCTTATGCTCGGTGTATCCACAGTTGTATTCGAGGGTACACCTGCCTACCCCAACTTTTCGCGATACTGGGACATCATCGAGAGACACAACGTTACTCAGTTCTACGTTGCCCCCACTGCTTTGAGACTGCTGAAGCGTGCCGGTGACGAGCATGTTCGTGGCAAGTTCGCTCACCTTCGCGTACTGGGCTCGGTCGGCGAACCTATCGCCGCCGAGATCTGGAAGTGGTATTTCGAGGTTATTGGAAAGGAGGAGTGCCACATTGTTGATGTAAGTTTTTCATAGGCATCGGTTTGGTGGCCACCGCTAACATTGATCATAGACTTACTGGCAAACCGAGTCTGGTTCTCATGTTCTCACGCCCTTGGCTGGAATTACACCAACCAAGCCAGGCAGTTGTTCTTTGCCCTTCTTTGGGGTTGAGCCCGCTCTCATCGATCCTGTTTCCGGCGAAGAGATTCACGGAAACGACGTCGAGGGTGTACTGACCTTTAAGCAGTCCTGGCCTAGCATGGCTCGCACCGTCTGGGGAGCCCATAACCGGTACAGAGAGACTTACCTTGATGTCTACAAGGGTTATTACTTCACTGGAGACGGAGCTGCTAGAGATCACGAGGGCTTCTACTGGATTCGGGGTCGCGTTGACGACGTCGTCAATGTCAGCGGCCACCGATTGTCCACTGCTGAGATCGAGGCTGCTCTGTTGGAGCACCACTCTGTTGCTGACGCAGCTGTCGTCGGTATCGCTGATGAGCTTACTGGCCAAGCTGTGAATGCCTTTGTTGATCTCAAAGAGGGCGTTGAATCAAGTGATGCTCTGCGCAAGGAGCTTATTGTCCAAGTGCGCAAGAGCATTGGTCCTTTCGCTGCTCCCAAGGCGGTGTACGTCGTGCCTGACATGCCCAAGACACGAAGTGGCAAGATTATGCGACGAGTATTGAGGAAGATTGTTGCTGGTGAGGAGGACCAGCTCGGAGACATTACTACTGTAAGCCAGCTCCTTCAATTACCTCAAGTGGCATTTGTAGCTAACATAACACACAGCTTTCTGATCCTTCTGTTGTTGAGAAGATTATCAAGGCTGTTCACGATGCCAAGCGCAAGTGAGGTCAGTGACAAAAAGGGTTATAAAGACATGATGCATATTATCTAGTGGAGTTATATACCATGGATACAAGGCAAGCGGGAAAGGAATAGTTTGCCGACAACGGAAGCGGCCTGGAATCAGATTTCCGCTCGGTGTTTGGGGTTGATGTTGGGATTCAGCCACGACCTGGAAGAGGATCTTGATGGCTTAAGAACCATTTTTATGAGGTTGATTTATGAGCATTGCGGTCTAATTTTTCTCACATGTTTTTTAAGCTAGCAAGGCAAAAAGAAAGTCCAATAATGAAACATTGGTTAAGACATCAATGATGTCCGTGGTGCAGGGTAGTGGTGTCAAAGAACCACAACAAGTGATTGATGTCAAAACAAGGTTCTGCACGAATCTGTCTTCGAATGGCTAGGTGTTTCCTTTTGTTAAGTTTGACTTGGAGGAGATTTGGATAGAGAAAAACAGCCTATTACGCCAGCTTCCAAAGGACGCGTGGACACAGCTCGCTCTGAAGTGGGATATCAAGTGGGATGATAAAGAGCAAACGGTCATGATAATTTTTAACGACGTTCCAAGATTTAAGCTTCAGTATTTCTGGGCCGTCGCGTGGGACCACGGGAGGTCTAGAACGAGAAAGGACTTGAACGGTTTTCACAGTTGCAGAGATATCAACCAGCTCCACGAGCCAAAGGCGCCAATAGATGGTCCCACTGGAGTGCCAAGGGTGATGAAGTCGTCATCGTTTTTGGGGGCTGTTGGTGTGTGAGTTGCAAGGGTGGGATAGTTTGAGAGTAGGTAATTTTTATTTCCCGCTGACTGGAGGCTGCGTAAAGTTGAGGGGCCGACTTGATTCTTTGGCTCGTATACCTAAGGTATTTAAAGAGCAATGATTTAAATGAGTTCCCGATGACATCGTGACATCGTTGTAAAACAAGCCTTTTCAGCCACGGCGTTTGATAAGAAATCTTGGGACAGCCCGATAAAGTAGCAACAACGTGGCAGCAGAGTCTATCGTTTATCTGGGTAATAAAGTCTGTCATCAACACCTTTTATGTCCGATAAATATCAAACTCGTCAATGCCAAGAAACTTGAAGATGTAAATGACTAGCAGCGGGGAAGATTAGTCTAGTCTAGGATTGTAAATGGTTGGATGAAAAGATACGAGGGCGAGACATATTGACCTCGGTCGGATGCACCGGTGAGGCTTTGGGAGGCCGCCTGTAATCAGATGGACTGCGCTATTAATCGGAGTTGATCTGTATGCTGAATACAAGGGTTATCGATTTCTGTTGCCAAGCCTCGAAGATGGATCTGTCAACATCCGTTAACACTGAGTTTCATAACAACTCTGAGATGAGATTCACGGCAAAGTTGACAGTTGCTAGTCTAGAAATGGCTGACAAGCGTGACGCTTGTTGCTAGGGAGGCTATGCAGTGGGAGAACCGCGCGGCCTTTGGCTCGTGATTCGCTGGCCAAGAGACTTGGTTGTCCCTCCAGCATCCACACCCCAGCCCTCGGGAACCTTGGATCCCTTGGCGTGAGAGGTAAAAGCCAACGGCGTTGGAAGGATCTAACCTGACCTAACAGCCAACAGGCTCTAAGCACCCTCCGCCACACTCTGTTTTGCCTTTCCAACTCCCTACAATCGGACTGGAGTGAGCTGAAATATCCATCCCGTACCTTAGTTCCATTTACTGTATTATTCAGATCTCATGCTGATCATGCTACACGATTAACCGTTTCGAAATCTTTTCTTCTTCTCCTCCTCTCCTCCTCCTCCTCCTCCTTGTGTATCTATCCTTCTTGTTCTACCTCGAGATACTTGGACCCTGACTTCTTTCTCCACATTCTCCTTTGACGTTCCCAATAAGTTCCGTCATACTTCCGACTCTATTTTCGGCCGCTCCGTCTGACGATCTTCGTCTCACCTTGATTACTTCTCATCTTACAACCTCCGTTCCCCTCAACTCGACTGTTTCTTCTGTGTTACTGTATGGCCTTGCAGTGATATCTCTCTCAATCGGCGCGTCGCCATTTCTCTCCCAGGACCGTTCGAGGTCCGATAAACACCATGGTATCATTGTGGTCGATTGCGACCGCTATTGCGGGTGTGGCTTTGTTCTTTGAAACCTCACTAGGTATGTTCAACACTCGAAATATGCCTCATAGTCCGGGGCAGTCTTCTAACATCCTCGGAATAGCGAGCTCAGTTAAGCGCAACGCCGTTAGCTATATATCTTTCATCGATGAGCCTGTAATCAACACACCATCACACCGTATACGCGCCGACTCGCACTTTGATCTCCTATTCTCACTACACAATGGACAACAAAAGATCCGCCTCAAGCTTGAACCGAACCACGACATTCTGCACGAGAACTTCGCTATTACTCACATTGGCGCCGACGGTGCCGTGCGATCTGTCGAGACAGTGAACCGGGAGGACGAAAAAGTATTCAAGGGACATGTGTTTATTCAGCGAGTCGGACGGGAAGGTTGGACAAATGCTGGCTGGGCAAGGATAACGATGCATCGCGATGGAAAGGAACCTGTTTTTGAGGGCACTCTGCGGATCGACGGCAACCATCACCATATCCATACCGGCACCAACTACCAGCAAGTTCGACATGAAGATGACCCTATTCTGTCAGCATCAGAGGCTCGGGATGATGTTATGGTTGTCTGGCGGGACTCGGATATCATGTCTTTTAACCCTACTGAGCTCAAGAGGCGTGGGGCTTCGGCTGCACTCTGTGACTCTGACACATTGAGTTTCAACAGCAAGTTTCATGAGCTCCAAGACTTTGACACATTTGGCGCGGCAAACACCAAATCCCTTTTCGGTCGCCAATCTATCGACACAGGCACAGGGAACGACGGTTCGAGTGTTGACCTTGAGTCTACAATTGGTTCTGTGAACGGCTGTCCAACTAGCAGAAGGGTTGCCCTTCTAGGAATCGCAACTGACTGTGGATACACTTCCACATTTAACTCTACTGAAGCTTTGAGGAAGAATGTCATAAGGATGGTCAATGATGCCTCCGAAGTTTACGAAAAGAGCTTCAACATTACGCTGGGTATCCAGAACCTCACCATCAGTGACGGATCGTGCCCCGGAAGCCCATCGGATACAGCTCCTTGGAACCAGAAGTGTTCCAACAGCGTCGACTTGTCCGATCGCCTTAACTTGTTTTCCGCCTGGCGCGGTCAGAATGAGGACAGCAACGCCTACTGGACTCTTCTGAGCACTTGCAACACCGACTCTGCTGTTGGCCTTGCATGGCTGGGTCAGCTCTGCCGCCCCGGTGCCTCAGCCAACTCCAACACTGGAGGTCGTAACGAGACAGTTGCTGGAGCCAATGTGGTGGTCAAGACTTCGGCAGAATGGCAGGTATTTGCTCACGAGACAGGGCATACTTTCGGTGCCGTCCATGATTGCACTTCTCAGACTTGCCCAGTCTCGTCCGATGCGCAGTCGTGCTGCCCCTTGAGCAAGAGTTCGTGTGATGCTCAGGGTGACTTCATCATGAACCCATCTTCAAGGGAGGGAATCAGTGAATTCTCTCCCTGCACCATTGGAAACATCTGCTCAGGTTTCAGGCGTAATGTTAACACGGAATGTCTCACTGATAACAGAAACGTCAAGACCATCTCGGGCCAGCAGTGCGGTAATGGAATCGTCGAAGAAGGCGAAGATTGCGACTGCGGCGGTGAGGCCAGCTGTGGCGATAATCCTTGCTGTGATGCAAAGACTTGCAAATTCAAGGGCCAGGCTGAGTGCGATAACTCGAACGAAGAGTGCTGCACGGATAAATGCAAGTTCGCATCTTCAGGTACTGTTTGTCGATCGAGCACAGGCCCTTGTGATCCCGAGGAGAAGTGCACAGGAAGCAGCGCGACATGCCCCAAGGACAAACACAGCGACGATGGCACAGACTGTGGTGATAGCCTCCAGTGCGCATCTGGTCAGTGTACATCGCGAGATGAGCAGTGCCGAGCAAACTATCAAAATACGACATCCTCCAGTGTGAAGGCTTGTACCAACAGCTGTCTTTTGTCTTGCCAGGCATCAGGCGACGGCTTCTGTACGCAACGAAACCAAAACTTCCTCGATGGTACACCTTGCGGCGGCGGCGGCCGATGTCAGAATGGTAGCTGCGAGGGCGCTTCGACGTGGAAGGAGATTGAGAACTGGTTCAAGAACAACAAGAATATTGCCATCCCCGTGGGTTGCGTTCTTGCTGCACTCCTCCTCTTGTCCATCTCTTGCTGCTGCTTCAGCTGTATTAAGCGACGCATAGCTCGCCGCAGGGCAGCCAAACAACCAGCCATGGGCGCGTGGCCAGGATATCCTCGGGGCCCCGTTCCAAACCAACAAGGCCCCTATATGTACGCCCCAATTGATAACAACAATGGCTGGCAGCAACAGAGGACGCGCAGTATGAGATATGCTTAGACTTTTTTTTCTTCTTTTTGATACAAAGGGGCGGATTTTACATGTCCGATACAGCATTTGCCGGCGTTTTCTTTCTGGGCACATTGGTTTGAGCATTGTATCGCTTTCTTGTAGTCTTTTTTGTACGGAATGGATTTGGACTTCCGCACATGCATCTTGACATTGTTTTCAACTTGTTGATAAGCGAATCAGGACATACAAGACGGCGGACCTGGAGAAGTACTTATGGGACAGGTAGTTGGTGGACAAACGCATAAGGAACAGACACATTCACATACACAGCGGTACACGCATACACGTCGATGTTAGATATTAGCAGCACAAGACTATAACGACAATTAGAAGAGGCAAAATGCCAGTATTTATTTGATTTCATCTCCTTGCACCAGAGTTTTGAACCAGATGGCGGTTACTAACAGTAAACATTTACTACAGCTGCATGGATAAGCAAATACAGGTTCATTCAATTCTATTACTTGAAAGTCGTGATTCATTATAAAAGGCTTGTGATGGTTTGCTAAAAGATCCGTATCTCACCAAGGGCCGTCTTCTCCCTTCCCGTGACGAGAACTCTGTACTATCGAGAGATTTTATCACTAACTCGGCGACTCTGTTTACTCCTCGCCGTGCTGGTGTCGTCGTGCTTATCTTCGAAGCCACATAATTGGCGCATAAATCGAAGGCGTTGACCAGCGATGCTCTGTACACGATGGTTTAGCACGACTAGTATTTTCAATATTAATATGGTGATGATACATACATCGCCGGTCGCTTGCGCATGTGCCATGAGAGCCGCATGGTTATCCAGAATATACATAGCCTCTCCTCTCCGTTCTCTCTCTACGTGTGTTTCAAAAACGGGACTGTAGGAATCAGCGTCGGCGCTGAAAGATCGTGAAGCCGAAGAACGATACCGCGGTCCAAGACGCCTTGGTTCGCCATCGCTCACGTCGCTTTCTTCGCTGTATGGGTTTTTCCCGCGGGCTTGCCTGTCGCGCATTTCTTCGGTCCATCCTGACGAGCGATTTGGTTGATGGTGTTGTGTTGATGAAGACATTGTGTTATGGATGATTTTTGGTGGAGGTTGGTGGTAGGAGGAAGAGAGTTGATAAGAGTTTGTTGGCTTCTTTGAGAATAGTGCTCAAGATGTATGTTTGAGGTTTTAAGATGAAGGTGGTTCAGAGACGATAAACAGCTTCTCGTTATAAATAATGAGACAAAGGCAGAAACAAAAAGTGATTGATGACTTCCCGAGTCATTCAGATTCATTCACATCCAATACAGCTCAACTAATAAACTCCCAGTGACAACAAGCGAGAGACAGGGCCTGACCTTGAAAAAAGGAACCAACCCCTCCATTGGAAGCGGGGCTCACGTCACTTACATAAAACCTCGAAAGTAAAGAGAGAGAGAGAGGAGGAAACAAAAGAGAAATGCAAATACAGAGCTAATGCAGGGAACATACAAATGCACATGGCCCCGAAGGGAAATGGAAAATCAGGCGAACGAACCAAACTTTGTGGGGACGGAATATTTTGGGGGGCTAGACCATCCATCGACGATAGAAAGCACCAACTCACAGTGAGTGAGTGACTCGGTGATGCCGTGGTCTAAGATGAGAGAGACGCCATCTCACATGATAGAGAATCATTACGACATGTATACGCCTACCTGTTCTATAACCTTTCCATAACACTTCACAGTCCTGTCAAGATAACGCAACAATTGCCAAATACCAAAGTCAAACGCCTCAAAAAAACAACACACGCGCGCACACACACACACACACACACAATGACCTGTTCTCTCACATCCATGATAATGCATTATATACTCTTCCGATCTGCAGCTGAGGCTGAGACATGCAAGGCAAACAGTGCGTGGTGTCTCAGTCTGCAATGCAACCTCCAATCACGACCTTCTGTCACAAATGACTACGCCAGAAGAGACGGGGAGAGGGGGGCCATGAGATCCTCGGCTACCTGATATAGACGACTACAGGTGAGATTCCCTGTCGTGCTGAGCCTCAACAACTCTACAGCTGAGAATTCTACACTCTTCAGATCCGATTGGCTTTGATCAGGCAAGGTCTAGAAACCTGAATGTGTCCCGACGCTATGGCCCCTCGTATATATACCCTATCACTGTAAAGTCTCGAGTGCATCTCTTCCGTCCGTCTTTACACCATTACTTTTCATCTCGGTATCGAGCCAACAAACTGCAAGTTATGTAGGTCACCTTGTTGACCCAATATGTTACTGCGCCTCTTCCCTCCCATTCGAGCCCCCATTTTCACTCTGGGTAGTTGGCGGCGATACGTCATAATGTTAGTTATTTTCTTTGAAACTATTGCTTTACTGACATCGTCGGTTTGGCTAGAACCAATCTCAACTCCTTATATGTAAAAACAAGCCTCTTGTGTTTTTCTGCGCCGTTTCATCACCCCAGATGGTATATAATCGTACAAATAACGCAGAAGCCCCCCCTAAAAACAATAACACCGTCAAGACTGGGTATGATGCTCCCCAAGAACCCAAATCTCAGATCAGACCGCATCCCCAGTACTTTGCTTGCCCTTCGTATGCCTTCACCTCCCGTGGTAAACCAGCCCGCCCTCAGAACCCCTGGATCCTAGAAAAGACAAAGAAAAGAAAACAAAGGTAATGCGATGAAAGCAATGTCGTTTGTACTCCTATAACCTCTATCCATGTTCCTTCATTCAACAAAGAGTTCGTGCGTAGAGAGGTGCCCAGATAGTGTTGTGTATGTGCCAATCAGAGAGTTCAGTTTTCACCCTCGTGGCCAGCCAGCCGTAGTTCGTCGTCGTGTTATACAAGAGAGAGCTTTCGCGAGTTCGCAGTTTCGTACAAATGGTTGCTTCAACCATGTCCAAGCGGGAATAGACATTAAGGGCTTCCAACCATACCCATTTCGCATCACAGTCCATTCGACTGTCTTCCTAAGACGTGCCTGAACAAGCCGCCTTTTCTTGTAGCGAATTGGCATGAGGGCTTCCGTACTGCCTCCTCGCACATCTAGATCCTATTAATGTTGCAAACGTTATCCTTTTTGGTGTAGTCGTCATCTTCGGAAGTTGATGATGGCAAGCTTTTCAAGTGTTAGCAGAGTGCAACTGAACATATGGTACCATCCCCTGACTCACCCTGCTATTGGAGCCATAGGCCAATTTATGGCCATCAGCATCCCAGCACAAGCAGTGCTCATCTTCTTCGTCCGTCTCGGCACTGGCCTTGGGGCTGAGCCAGCCTGGATGCACCGGTCGACTCCAGCTTGCTCGCGGCACAGCGTAGCTTCCAACTTTCCAAATCAAGATCTGAGTTGATGTCGCGCCCGCGATAAATGCACCGTCTGGCGTGAAAGCGAGCCTCATAATTGGTGAATCCATGGTCAAGAAGCACTTGGGCTTGCTTTCGGGCATTCGAGCATTCCAGATAAGAATTGCACAGTCGTCTCCTCCAGTCGCAATTAAACGCTCGTCGTCAGGTCCAGATTGGTTTTCGGGCAGAGGCTGCCATTGCATCGCAGTAATGGTGCCTTGGTGCGCAGATATGGACCTTCGCTGACCACTCTCATCCCACAGCTATACCACAGTTAGCATCTCTTTTCAATATGTTACTCTGGAGTAAATTCTTACGTCAAGTGTGCCCTTGTCGCTGGACGTAGCGGCCAGTCGCGAACGTCCGTCGAAAAGGACCTGGGAAAATAGATCGTCGTCCTTGGTCTCAAATTTTCTGGCCTGCACTATCGTTGTTTCTGTGCATTGGAGGCATAGCATTAGGTCGCCACCACATAGCAAGAATTCTGCTTCTCCAGTCCACGCTGCATCGAAAGGTGTAGCATCAATATTGTGGTCCGGGAGGACATATGACAGAGAGTTTCCAGCGGGCGGGTAGTGAACGGTAATAAGAGTACCACCCTTGTCCGGGGAAATGGCTAGTAGAGCTGTGTTGTTAGGGTTCCATAGCATCTTGATGATTGGAGGCTCTGATAATTCCATTGACTGCAGATGTGCGCCTTCAGCGGACCACACATTGATCGAGGCATGGTTCCTCGAGTCTGTGGCTACTGCAATTGCAGCGCCATCGCTGGTCCACGACATGGCCGTCGTTATGGTATCGCGGGGCACATCACGATCGATAAGGGAGTGACCTTGAAGTGACACGTGATCTTGGCCCGGCTCGATGGGGCCCGCGCGAGGGACTGTCCAAACACGGGCTAGCGCATCGGTGCCACCAGCTGCGAGGATGGACGGATCTCTTGGGTTCCACTCGCATCGCAAAAGGATGGGAGCATTGTCTTGCCCAGAGGGCGAGGAAGGTGATGGCGTAGCGCCTCGGTTTCCCTGAATTTGATTCTGGCCGTCATATACCAAACGGATAAAGGTCGTCTCGGGAGCCAGCTCCTCGACCTTGTCTACCTGGGTTCCCTGTTCAGGGCCGTCAGTCCGCACAATTGGCTCTGGCGCTTGCTCACCCTCGAGAGGTGAAGGATATGCATGGTTATCAGGCTGGTTGTCAATTTCCATAGGTGTCGTTACTGGTGCCGGTGCTGCTGTGGTGGAATCCGTTCCTGTTCCTGTTGCTGTTGTTGCCGTTGGTGCTGATGCTGGCACCGTTACTGCAGCCGGTGCATCGGCGCCATTCTCCAACCCATTGCTTAACCGTTGTCGTTTTGCTGGCGACACATTCGATAATTGCTGAGGGGCACGTTTCCTCGTAACCTCCTCTTCGATAATTTCCTCTCCTTCCGCATCTTCCTCTTCGTCTGCCTCAATTCTTCCTTGTGGATGCGCGTCCAGAGGTCCAAAAATGCCCATCTGCAGCGAGTCGGCTGCTTCCGCTGCTGCATCCTGAGGCAGCTGCATATGGTGAATTTTGTCAGCCTCTGACCGTTTTGGAAATTTGGCCTTGTCATGAATACAGCCCACCTCGCCTTAATGGGTGGGGGAACAGGCGCAGCGCCGAAACTCTCGATAGATTGCAATGATTCCCCAAAAAGATTACTTACCAGTTTCCGTAAATGCTCACGCTCAAGCGCGTGGTAAACAAGGCCACGATTAATCACTGAAACCAATGCATGGCTCTTGACGTGGGGCGCAAAGGCGAATTCCCTGTGAGGTTGCTTGACGTGCCACTCCTTTTGAAATTTGGCAGCAGTCTCTCGATAATCTGTGGGCGAGTGTGGTTAGATTAGCTGTGGCGCCGTGAGCGCGCAGACGTAATACATACTGCCTTCAAGAAGAAATCTGTAGGCGCGCAGAAATTCATGGTCAGCAAAAAGGTCCAGCGGTAGGGGGAAAAGGTGATGCCGAGAAGGCGACTAGGCGCGGTGATTGCGAGTCGAGGACGCGAAGTAGTGACGAACCTCCAAACAAGAAAGTTGACTCTATCCGAGTCGAGGAATTCCTTAACGACCATAGTCCCAGAGAGCGCCGCAAAAGGCGCAGAGTCGCTGACGGGTCGCAGTTGACGATGTGAATCGTAATTCAAGACAGCAGTCAGCAGGGTCCCGGGAAGCCAACCTATTCTCGAAGGAGAGGCTGGATTATTCGATGTTGTTTATGGGGTTTGTCCGAGGAAAGGTAAGTGAAGATGCAAAAGAAAGATGAAATTCAAGGTTCCAGTCGGGGCGGTGATGAGTGGGTACGTACCTCCCTCCTCTACCTCTACCGCCCCTGTACTGTGCTGTACCTTAGGTCACTCCCGTCCCAGCCCAGCCCGAGATTCAATCAATGCTTCTGCTCTTGTGCAAGGTCCCTAACAGGCACAACCAAGCTAGCACAGGATCAGGTCGTTCTGCCTGTGGCTCTCTCCCCGTTTCTGCTAGCTCGAATTAGTTGGGGTGCTGCAAGGATTCATTGATGCATTGGATGGGCTGGAAGGGTACGGATACCTTGTCGAGGTACCCTTAAAACGCCAAGGATAAAGCGACATTGCTCGCACTGGAGCTACGGGGCCTTTACGGGGAGCTAGGCACGGGGCTGACTGGGGGGGAGTTTGCAGGTACAGAACCATCCAATCCATTCGTTCGATCCACGAATAGCCCCAAAGCTTCCAGTGATGTGATACAGACCAGGGAGACTGATAAGCTGTGCAACGGTAAACAGCGTGATCGGACAAGACTGCTCGTGGCATCTGCTCTCGTCAAATAGCGGGATGACGACCAAAAAGCACAAAACGTCCAAGTGGTACACACTGAACTCACGTATTACCGAGATGCTTTTGGGTGCAAGGGAGCTAACCCACTGAACGGCGGGCTTGAAATGGGACAGGCGCTAGCGAACGCCAGGTCGAAGGATGGAAAAACAGACAGAAGTGAACTCTCCAACAAGCCTTTCTCTTTTTTAGAGGAGAAAAACAGTGACACCCATGTCCGGCGCGCTGCTAAAAGTATCGGTACTTTGAAGATGGTGGAGTGGCAGCCAATCGATTCGCTGAGCAGGGGTCGTGGACCTGCGGATTGTGGACCTTGAATGCTCGGACAAGCAGGGGTTCGCTGTGAGCATTTGAAGGTCCTTGAACCCGTTTGGGCCATGGCGGATATTGATGGTGAAATGTAACCTCCAAGATGATTGATGACTGAAATAACAGCACGCACCCCCTGCCTCTAGCCATGACCGTGCCACATTGAAGACAACGGTAGATATCCCTGGCCTGCCCTGGCTTGGTCTGTTCAGTTGTTGGTCATTCCATCATCGTTAGGTTCGTCTTCAACAGAAGCGTCCGTCCACGAGAATGGCAAGGTTTCGAAGATCATGCCCTTGTTGGATGATGACACTCGAGAGTGACTGAGAACGAGGGGCAACCGACGGGTCATAGCCAGGAAAAGATTGCTTCGTCTCTTCCCCTTCGTTCATTTGCTGCCTGCTCTGCCTCTATCAGCAGAAAACCAGCCAAGCAACTCTGTTATCGCTCGTCATCAATTAGATTACGCCCCTGCCGCCGCGAGTGTGATGGTGTTCCGTCAATGATTCCCCCCCAGTTTGTGCATGAGGCTTCTTGAATCCTTGCCCAATCATATGACGTCGGCTGCCTTAGTCACGGCTAGCCCGCGTTGAATGCCATGCCATGCTTCAGGGCTTGGGCTGATGCATTTCGCCTTTCCTCCCAAAAATCTGAGACGGACGGATGCAGATCGGCCACGACAGGGGTAGGGTCATGGAGGTTCAAGACCCAAGCTTCAAGACTCGACTTGATCAGTGTACCTCTACTTAAACATGTGTCAGGTTCTGTCCCCCGCCCATCCCTTTCACCCCTGCGGTACTCACTCCAATTCGAGGTCGCAATGTCACAATGGGCTAGAGAATCCGAGTCCAATTTGGCCTCATGGTCTCTGGACTCGCGATGTCACGATTCGGTAGAGGCAGCTCGTTGTTGCTACCCAGTCTTTTACCTGGGAAGAACGACGAAGCAATGGAGCAAAAGCCCCTCAACGATATCCGCCACCACCTCCACCACCTCAACTCAACTCAACTCAACCTTCCGTCGAACCAGTCTGGGGAGGCGAATGGATGGTTCAAGACAAGCTCACAATCAACTGGCCCCACCATAAACACCGGCTTGCCTTGCACGCCGCACGCCTGGCTCCCACAGCTCCGGACGGGCAGATGCCACCACGGACAAGCTGCAAGGATGCCACACCCAATGTCATCTAGTCCATTCTGAGCATCCATCCATCCAACTGTCTCTGCGTGACATGATATGCACAACTCGCTACACTCACCGATAGCCGCCAGGCAGGCAGAGAGAAAGACAAACGCACTCACTCGCAGACTCACTGATCAACTGTTGCGAGGACAAGCAGGGCTATAGGTTGCAGGGCATGTTCACGACTTGGCTTGGTTCCATTGCTTGCTTACCAGGTTGCCAGCGTCATCTCCAAACTGCAGTTCATAAGCTGTGCAACTGCTCAAAACCCTCGCAACATCTCGTGTAACAGAAACAAAGACTGTTGTCAGCGACTGCGCACAGAGAAACACAGTAACTAGAATGTTTGGCCCGTCCCGTCTATCGAAAAAAAAAGGTGCTCTCGCTCACTCACAGCCCTGTCTGAACTCTCGTCATTACGTGGCAATACTCTAGCTCGTTCAAAGGGGTCGCCAAGCAGCCAGCCCACCATGCAACCGGGGCCAGCGGCTGCCCATGCCCGGGTTTTTGAACCACCAGCTTAGCAATCGTTTTTTAAAGGATCATGGTTTCAACTGTTTCGCGAAGGCGACGCGACTCGAACAACCTCATCATCGTCACCCCAGGACACGGAGCTGTGATCTCTTGGATGTACAGCATAACAGCCCCAACTCGCTGCCTCAAAAGCACCCACGAATGCACGCCTTGCTTCCACCCACACATGCACAGTAGCCCACAACAAACCTCCGAACTTGGCGGGTACCCGCACCTTTTGACTTTGACAGGGTCCCGTGCTTTTCCTTTCTCCCTCTTCTGTTTTTATCATGTCAATGCGCAGACTTGATGATGATTTCAGTCTTTGAGCTCCTCGCTCGTCCAGGACAAGAGCATCTCCACCACCTGTATTCATGATGTCCTCCATCCTAGAAGGTCTCATTGAGTGTAAACACGCCATCGTTTCAATGGCTTCTCGTCACGTGACCCGTCCTGTTGCAAGCCTCCCGTGACATTCCCGAGGTTCTTGACCTTGTGCATCTCCCGTCGGTACTTGGACCCTCCACCAACGCAACATGGCCTGAGCCGTTGCTATATCACAAATCTCCGGTTTCGTATCGACCACGGAGCTCCCAATTTGGACGTTGTCATTTTTGTTGGTATGTTGAAAATCGAGAATGACATCCGACTCGAATGCCCTCACCTTGGCAACGAAATAAGACCTTGGCAAGATGAAAGATGTGGCTGTCTCTGCTTTGCCCTGCACGACATTCCAGAGTCGGGAGGCCCCACCGACTCCATTTGATGGATGTTGATGTTCGAGAGGCACAGGGGAACAGCATCGACAATCTAAACGTTCTTGACCAATCAGATGTGAGTCAAGAATTAGTCGCGTTGAATGGCACCCGTCATCTTGTTCTTTGCCGAGGCCCCCGAATCTTGACCGAATTTAGTATCTCCATCTCCCCATTCAATACTGATGATACAGGACACGACATCAGTAATATTTGAGTTCGATGGCCATGCATCTAAACATTGGGAGGTATTCCCGGAGGCAAGGGTTATTGAGTTCAGCATGGCCTTGAATATGCAACGCTAACAGGTGAAACAAATGAAGTTTTCAGCAAAATCTCAATCTCAAACTCTAACCGTGGCTTTATCGCTAAAGGTGTGGGCACTAGCGGATCAAGGACGTCAATCCTAATGGTCTTCCTTGCTGACAAAAGTCTCAAATCAAAGTCCCTCCGCCAAATGTCTAGATATTTAGCTTGTCCTAACAGAGCGGGTTAATAACTTGCTGTGGAGGATGGAATTCAGTCTAGGGCTTGCATAAACCAGTGAACTTTGAAGTGATAGAACTGTTTCATATACAGTAGATTTGGAGCAGCAATGTCTTGAACGTAGCCGCATCACGAAAGTCTCCACAGTCAGATCTTGAAACCTTGAGGTTCGTGGTGAAGATCCCAAAGCGCGTCGAGTTCTATTGATTGAGTTTCTCTAAGAAAGTCATTATACATAGAGAAATTAATACTTGAACTGTTGGTCCTCAAGATAGTTCAAGTATCGCTTAGAACTCTCGGATCCTACGTAAATGAGGAGAAAGAGGCCTCATCAAAATTGACTGATCAGGCGCTCATATGCAGGGATTCAAATTGCATGGGCGGGATTGCAACTTGTGGCTGCCTTAGGCCCCTGAATGAGCTGTGCGCCACAAGAGGCTGTGGTCCCCTAAAGTGGTGAGGCTGGCAACGGCAGGGATAAGTTTACAGAGGACAGTTCAATCTCGTGGCATCAAAGGGGAATCAAGAGAATAAAGACCTTGTAAAGGCCAGCGCCGACAACAAAAGTCCCCGATTACGACAATAGCTACAGCGCAAAAAGAATCACTACCAAGTATCGGATTGTTTGACGAATCACGAGTTAGTATTGCCGAAATATCGCGCCAACGGCCAACATATCCAACCTGTGATAGCCTCGACGAGTTTGGAATAAGAGCCGATCCGAACCTGAAACCTACATAATCAAGTCACGATGCCGCCTCGAATAAATATTCCGCCGGTTACACGTATCCTTCTCATCGCTCTACTAGGCCAGTCCATCCTCAGCGCTGCCATAAGATATCGGCAATGGACTGCCAACGCAAACATCGTCATTCCCTACTTGACTCTGGTGCCGCAGTTGTCTATTATCTATCCCTGGACGTTCATAACATCAACTTTTGTCGAGAGTAATGTGTTTACGCTCGGTATTGCTGCTGTAACGATATACCACGGAGGACGATATCTCGAAAGAGCATGGTCATCGGCTGAGCTGGCCAAGTTTGTCGCTATTGTATCGCTGGTTCCAAACTTCCTGACACTCTGCGTTATGGTGCTTTGCTTTACGCTTACACGTAATGAGAACTGGACGTATGTATTATACTGCGCTCACAATGTTAGATGAGGAGAAACTGACACAACTGTATAGCCTGACTGTCATTGCTGGAACCATTCCCGTTCAGATTGCTTTCCTCGTCGCTTTCAGCCAACTCGTCCCAGCGCATACTGTAACCCTCTTCCGCGGCGTCATATCTCTCCGAGTTCCTCGATTTCCTCTCATCTACCTCGGCGCCGTTTTCCTTCTCTCTCTTACGCCCCTCCTTACCAGAGCTGCTTTGTGGCTTGCCATCTTTGGATTCCTGACCAGCTGGACCTATCTCCGATTCTACAAGACTGTGTTCCCCGACCTCGACTCGGCACAAGACGCCTCCCTCCGCGGTGATGCGAGCGAGACATTTGCGTTTGCCGAGTTCTTCCCTGGCCCGGTGAAGCCATTCGTCGCTGCCATCGCCGATCAGATCTTCCTGGTGATGGTTGCCATGAGATTGTGTACGCCTTTCACACCGGCAGACGCCTCTCGAAACGACAGCCGGATCCAACGGACTGCCCCTGGAGGCGCTCGCGCAGAGGCCGAGAGGAGGAGAGCCATTGCCCTCAGGGCGCTAGATCAGAGACTACATGCCGCTACAAGCAATCAGCCAGCGCAGAAGCCAGCGCAGACAAACCGGCCGACAGGTCCAACAGTGCAAAGCCAGCCTCAGCCGGCTACACAGACTGCCATGACATCGTCACCCGGCCCCATGCTTGGCGAGACCAAGTTCGAGCCTGACCATGACGATGCGAAGAGCTAAATTCTGTCTTATTTTCAAGAGTAACATACAGCCATTGTGATATGGGGGGGTCGTAATGTGCCTTGTACGGTTTAATTCGAGCCCACCTTGTTGAAGACAAAGGCTGACCGTAGTTGCAGAGTCGCCAGCAACGATTTTGATAGATGAAGAGTTTGACGATTGGCATTGCTCGTGGAGCTCCGGTGTTATGATGGTTTTCTGGGCTTTCCTTTGCAGACTGGTCTGGTCAAGTCCTGATTAGGATGTGGTGGGATGGACTGGTATGCACGAGGAATGTTTGGTTCAAGCTACTTAGACATGAATATCAAGATAAGAGTATCATGATTGTGGAAATCGAAAACTCAAGTTAAATTCTCGTATTTCGATACTTGTGCTGTAAAAGGATGCACATTTGAATCAACGTAAGGTAGTTATTTGCTTTCAGAGTACCTAGCCATCATGCAGGGTAGGGTGCAGATCGAGGTGCCCAGGACGCGCTGACCAATGAGGTTGATGCAATTTGCATGCTGTCCTCCTTGGAGACTGATAATCAAGTCAATCATGAATTCACATGTCTTGTCCTCTTGAGCTATATTCACCGATTAGGACCCAATAGATGCATGAATGTAGCCGTGTTTCATCCAATTGACTTATATATTCCTGGTTTACCTCATCAAAAGCCGCGCGAGCTCTTCCTCCAATTCCGGCCAAAGGTAACTTAACTCATGATGGGCTGGCCATATGAGTTCCTCACTCTAACAGATGAGGAAAAGCATCAACGTCGTCTGAGCCTCGACTACTACGCATATATAGCACACCTCTCTGCTTTCGTACCGGCGCTATTATTTCTCGTCATTCGACTCATCAATCGTGTGCGCAAGGGCCGTAACAGCGGGTATCTTCAAGTTCCAGGGTCACCAGGCGTCAAAGCGAATCGACAGCGATGGATCTCTAGAGTTATGGAGAAAGGACCCGTTGTGCAGTGGTGGCTAGGTGAGGACGTCGTATTCATGGGAAGGCATTGGGGACAACGTGATGAATGGGTTTTGGGTACTGCTTGGACAGTTTGGTTGTTAGTTTTGAGCGTTCGTGGCACAGGAAAGGGTATGTTAAGTCCATCTCTGATTCATATGAGCTTGTTGCTGACAATACAGATTATCTTCATCTCACAAAGCGAGTGGGCATCGTTGCTACCTCTCAGATGCCTATTCAGTATCTCCTCGCTCTCAAAGCGCTCAACCCTTACGCATATCTGCTTCACTCATCTCACGAACATCTCAATCGATATCATCGTGTCCTTGGTCGCATTATCTACTCCCTGCTCATACTTCATGCTATCTTATACAACATCTTCTTCATAGAGTCTGGAATATGGTTCAAACGCTTCTTCGCCCCGGTTGTATTTGCAGGCGTTGCTGGTTTTACTGTTCTCCATGTGCTTAACGGTACAGCAATGGCTCGCGTTCGTCAAGCTTCATACCGACTCTTCTTCATCGTTCACCTCTTTGGAGCCTTTGCTATCCCCCCCTTGATCTACTATCATGCACCGTCCTCGCGATTCTATATCGCCGAGGCCGTTGGCGTCTTCGTTCTTGACCTTGCCGCACGAAAGATCACCACCATCACAGCTCCCGCTGTCATCGAAGCTATCCCTGGCACAAGTCTCGTCAAAGTCTCTGCCAAGCTTCCAGCTCCAAAGATTGCCAAGTACACCGCCCGCCCAGGATCTCACATCTATCTCAACGTCCCTGCAGCTTCGCGACCAGGAATTGGGCAATTCTCAGCTCCTTATCTCGTCTTTGAGTTTCTTTATAACCCCTTCACTGTGGCATCTACCAATCAGGAGACGGGTGAGTTGACACTTGTCGCACGCACAAGAAATGGCCCCATGACGAACCGTCTGCACCATCTGTCCTCGACTACCAACGCTGGAGGGTCGACTGAGAAGGTCGAACTTAATATTGAGGGTCCTTATGGTGCCATAGGGAAGACGTTCAACGACCTCATCAATTCAGGTATCAACCGTATACTCATCGTGGCGGGTGGTGTGGGAGCAACCTTTGCTGTACCGCTCTACCACGCTGTTCTAGCTGAGAACTCAACCACAAATGTCCAGCTCGTTTGGGCCATTCGAAGTGCAGGCGACGCAACCTGGGCCGCCTCAACTCCTACTGGCAAGTCTCTTCTCGACGATGATCAAGTGCAGCTCTTCCTCACGGGAGACATGGGTGTCGCCAATGACAGCGATAACGCAGCTGGCGTTGAAATGAACAATTTATCTCAACAGAGCACTCGTCCGGTCGTTCGAAACAGCAAAAGGCCTGATCTACAAAAGATCGTTGACGATACGTTCCAAAAGGGTCAGCAGGATAGTGTGGCTATTCTGGTCTGCGGTCCTGTTGAGATGAGCCGAGAGCTACGCAAGAGTGTGACACCGTGGGTGATGAAGGGACGCAGAGTCTGGTGGCACAATGAAAGTTTTGGATGGTAGGTGGAAAGACAATGTATGACGAGCACCATGGCTGTTCTCTTTCAGCCTGAAGTATGTTGGTTGAGAGTGATTAGTTAGCAAATAGATCACATAAAACAGCAGCGTCTTGGTTGTAAGCCTTGCAAAATTCCACAACTTCCACAACCTAACTTAGATCGCCATGTCGAGCTAGAGGTAGCCGCTCCGCGACCCCTTGGTTGTCTTGACCGTGGTTGGTCTAAAAGCATTGTGGCGTGTAGAAAACTGTAGAGACGGTTATGCCTTACAGAGAAAACCTTCTACCGTTTGGGCCTGGTTCAAGAGGTCAGTCATGCTCCCACGAACCTGGCAACTCCGGGAAACTCGAAAAGAATAGGAAGCTGCTCCAATAGTGAGCGCACTATGAATATCTAAAGACCACGTTGGGTATCTTAGGTTCAAACCCCCAGCCATACCTCATCCCAAAGCAATTCGGTATAGAATGCACACCAATACAACACCACCGTCATTATAGGCCATACTATCATATTCTATGCTCGCGCGAGGTGCAGTCTTGTCCTTGCTAAACCATCGTAATAGCCATCAAGAATTTCGTCCATCAACGCCTCACCCATCTTCCGACCCTCACTAATAACGCACCACACTCCGTTATCTAACCCCAAGTAGGGATGCCGTTAAGCCGGCATGAAATCTAGAGTATGAATAAACAACAAGAACAAGGCAATATCAGAAATTCCAACGTCTAAAAGAAACCGCAACCTTTGCTGGTATCATAAGAGGGTGTCATCAGCCACACCCAATATCTCATCTTCATCGAGAGCTCACATATTGTCGTTCAGTCTCACTGCCGGTATCTAGCCAGCTGTGCCATGATATTCTGAACTTGAACCGCTGCATCTCCGTTCGACGGTGGCTGTGGTACATGCCCGTAGGAAGCTCCATATGGGCCTGGAGGGTGCTGCTGTTGTTGATGTTGCTGAGCTGCACCATTCCCACCCAGACTTCCAAGTAGTGCCTGGATGTCAGGTTGAGGTGCTCCAGCGGCAGCTGCACTTGTGCCACCTTGAGCAGGCGTTGGGTTTTGGACGCCCCCTTGAACTTGTGCGAGCAATTGCTGAAGTGACACAGGGTCAAGCTGACCCATCATATTCGCAATGTCAGCGACGTTGACTGGAGGAGGCTGCTGTTGACCGTATTGTGCGGGAGGGGGAGGGCCAGGGTAACTGGCTGCAGGCGCTTGATACGGGGGCTGACCTCCATAAGGAGCACTACCATAGCCATTTCCTCTGTAAGTTTGACCATAGTTAGGAGGGCCTCCTGATGCCTTGGCTTGAAGAATAACCTTGGCTGCAGTAGCGGGGTCCAGGTTTTCGTACTGATCATATCGAACATTGTTGGAGCCAGCGGAGCGATCAAAGGCCTGTACCGGAATCTTGCCTGAGCTTTGCGCTCGAATATCGAGATCAACAACGGCATGAACACCTTCGGCCGCTTGCCGCTGAACTACCATGTCCTTGGGAATCCTAGGATGCAGGAACATAACCTCAGACCTAAGACCTTGGGACTTGAAAGCTTGCTCCACCCAGTTGACAAAGTCGCGATTTACATCTGGCTGAAGGATGACCTGTACGTCAGGGACGTCAGCACCATACCTCCGTGGGAGATCAAGCTCAGCCTCATGTCGAGGTCGCCCATAAGGGCTCGGACTTCTTCGTCGATAATTGTTGTCCTTGCCGTTGCGACCGTATCCCGGGGACCGAGATCGTGCACGCCCCCTGCTGTTGTCATAAAAGCCTCGATCTCGACCATACGACTCATCTCTTCCGTAATCGTTGCGATGAGGAGAATGACCGCGACTAGATCGATAATCATCCCGGGTTTGGTGGCCTTGCCGTTCATTTCGGCGACCACTGTCGCGGGTTTTGTTCCTGTCTGGGCTTCGAGTCTTGTCCTTTTTTGATTTGTCCTGAGCACGCGATACTTCTAGATCTTGATGGTGTTAGAAGCACAGGATGGAAAAACCAACAAGCACTACTTACGAATTCTGCGACCCTTGATCTCGATGCCTTGTAGATTATCCATCGCTCTCTGTCCTTCCTCGATAGAATGGTACTGGACGAAGCCGTACGCAGATTTGAGTGAGATTTGAGCAATCCTTCCGAACCGATGAAATAGATCGAAAACATCCTGTTTCGACACCTTGTCGCTCGAGAGATTACCTGTAGCGAATATGTGAGCGCCATTTTTGGACGCGCCGGACGCGGATCGTGTACCAATAAAAATGCGTGAACCCTCTGGGAAACGGTCCCATTTGGCCTCAGCTATATACTGGTTTTCGTCGGCTAAGAATTGATTCCATTGGCGCTCATATTCGGAATCTTGAGCTTGATCAGTATTATAGAGAGCAGGCTTGGGTGGGTATGGAGGGGCGTTCATAGAAGTGATGGCGATAGGCGCCTGGAGACCGGAGCCAAGCGGAACCGGAAATTCACCCAGAGCATCAGGGACTGCAACAGGCGCGCCAGTTGCCACATAAGTGGATGGCTGCCCGGGCGTGGGGGGCGCAGCTAGGTTCGAGGGAATACTGGCATTGATGCTAGGTGGGTGGTGCTGCGAGGCATACGTCTGAGGAACTGCCTGTGATAGCGGAGGCCTCGGTGGAAGAGAAGCTGACGATGAGAAGGCTGAAGACGGAATAGTAGACTCGAGAGAATGTTCACCTAAGAGGGACGGAGCATAATGTGTGTTGGAGTTGGAAGGCGCTGTGAGATCAGCAACCAGGCGTTGAATATCAGCTGAAGGACTGGCAGAGCTGGCAGCGTTACTGGCGCCCGGCTTGGCCGTGCTTGGAGACGACGTTTGCTGGTTGGATGGCTGCGACGTGAAGGTATTTGCGACGCCGGCAGCTTGAGCTTCGGAGGAAGCATTGGAAGTAGTTGATGTCGCAGATTGGCCTGGCTGGGCCGACAAAGATGATTCATGAACGACATGGGAGACTTGAGATGTGCGATTTGTCAAATGATCGGATGAAAGAGAAATTTCGTTGGATTCTCGTGGTAGCGATGATACATCTTGTGGTTCGACGACTCCGTCTTCACCCTCCTCCGTCCCAATTGGTGAATCAAAAGTCTTTGCGTAATCGTCATTGCTGTCGGGGAGTTCTTGTTCAACCTGAGGCTGCGGCACTTGCTGGGCGGCCACGTCTGTGTCGTCTTCACCATAAGGGTCGTTGAGGCTGTCGTCATCTACGATATCGTCATCACCACCAGCCCCTGATATGGGCTCAAGATTAGGAGCCTTGTTGATAGAGCCATTGGCGTCGGCAGCGGCAGCGGCAGCGGCAGCAACCATGGCGTCGATGGTCTCAACGGTCTCTTGAAGCACAGGGACCGCCAACGAGGTGGCTGAATGAACAGGTGATGGGGAGACCGGGGAGAGGTTGGCAGTCGCCTGAAGCTCTGCCTCGGGTTCTGTCATTTAATTAAGGTTGGGATTGGAGATTGGTGTGCAGTATATTGGATGACCTTCTGAAGCAGCGCTGGTCGTACAAACAATGCGAACCAAGAGATGGTGCAACTGAAGATCAAACAAAAAGCTCGGCTCCTTGGTCAGTGAGAAGTGCCGCCAGGCGATGGCCTGGCGCAAGACGGAAGCTGGAAGCGTGATGGAATAGACGGAGTGGCGGTCAAAGCGCTTCCAGACGAAATACGAAAAGGTTGACTTGTAGACCAAACGGACGCGGGATGAAAAGCCACAAGAGAATCGGCGCTCTCACCAGATGGTCACCAGGAAGACGGACGACTCGACCAGCTTTTTTGACAGGGGAGGCAGTCGGGTAGAGGGTTTTGCGACGTCGGCGCTTGGCTAATCGCGCCAAATGAGTTGAGTTCTCCAGAAGACTGGGGCTCGGACACAGGCACGTGAGAGCAAAGGAAGATGGACTAAAGAGAGGATCTAGGTAGTCGCGACACCAAGAGCATTGAAGATGGCGGTACGAGTTAGGTCGACGATGTGTCGCAGGTTGAGGGAAATGAGCAGATGAAGGTTGAACAGGCGAGGTAGGTCGATTAGGTTAAGTAAGGTAAGGTAAGGCCTGGTAGGGCAAGTCAGAGAGAGGTGAAAGGCTGGGTTTCGGGGTCCCAATTGAGGCTGATCGGGCGCAGGCGTGAACCGCAGCTAACGACAAGCTAGTCCAGAATTGGCAAGGCGGTCAACAAATCATTTGTCTTTGGCTCACAACCAAGATCTCAGCCACAGACAAACATCATGCGGAAGCCAAGAGTTTGGGAGACCCCAACTTCAAGTGTTATATGAGACATTGAACTCAGAGGAATTAACAAACTAAAATATCCTTTATTTCGGTCTGTCAGATGTAATATATAGATCGTTCGATTGTTATACTTCACCATGCTTCAGCGACACTTTGGTCTGGCGCCGCGTCTGAGAAATGTTCCAGCATATCTGACAAGTCGTCCATTTGCGCCTCGGTTCAAGAGATACCAGGCTTTCGACACCGGGCTCGACCAAGAGGCTCTTTCTGAAGCTCGCTCGTGGTTTCAATCTTTCAGCCCAACACAACTACCGAAAGGAAATACTACATACGCCCGCTCGAGTGGACCAGGAGGTCAACATGTCAATAAGTATGCACGTAATTACATTCAAGCAAGTCTTTAGCACTCACAGGTGAAAGGACCGAAACAAAAGCAATCACAGCATATCCATTGGGACAATTGCTGCCAGTACTCCCCAAGTCATTACATCCTGGCATTCGCAAGTCCAGGTACTACACAGCAACCAATGACTCTTTGACTTTCCAAGCGCAAGATTCACGATCACGGGATGCGAATGCGGAAGACAACAGAAGAAAGCTTATTGAGGAGGTAACAAGCATCTACAAAGATGTGATACCTGCTGAAACAAGCGCAGAAAAGAAAAAGAAACATGAGGAGATGTCAGTTGCTTCCTTTGTTGAAAAACAATTGCTAACATCAAATAGTGGCAGAAGATTCCACGAGACAAGGATAAAACAGAAGAAGTTTACCAGCGCAAAGAAACAATCACGGAGAGGGCCTTCTGATTGAGCAAACCGTTAGTCAAACAAAGCGAGACAAAACCAGCAGTATTAACTTGATGGCGATATAGAGATATCATTAGCTTGCGAAAAGGTATGTACATTGAATTGAGTACAATCTCGATATAATTCTGAATACTTATTCAAAAGAAACCTACTGTTCTTTCTCGATGTTACAGAGCAGGACTAAAGTTTAGATGGTGAAAGCCGAAATTGTACGCACAAATTGAAAGAAAGGAAGCTGCCACTATTTGATTTAGTTAGAAAGCAAACATTTGCGGTAGATGGTCCAAGGTCTCGCAGCAGGTGACTACTGCGTCTCGGTATCAGTAGAGTGGCTGAAATGAGACCCGACAAGAACAGAGCATGAGTTACAGCATGATTTCTCTCAGGGAATAGAAACCCCAATTATGATGCGTTTAAAGGCGAAATATCGTCATTGTCACTCCGCGCCATTGATAGGTAAGGGTCATCATTAACTGCGATACCTCCTTTTATGCATGGTAGGTGAATATAAGGCAGGTCACTACTGAGAAGAGATACGGATAGACATTTGATGGCCTGGCATTCATAATTAGAATCACGGTCGGGCACCAACTCTCCTCGTATCAATAAGGGTCCAGAACTAAAACGCCTTGAGCATTATTGTCTATTGTCATTATCTCACCCATCCATATTTCAGCTAGACTTTGTCTGACACGACCCCACCCGCCTCTTTAGCCCCGACCCTTCTGACCAACCCAACCGAACCCCTTCACTTCAGCCCATCAGCATCGCCATCTCGACCGCTGATATCTACTCTCTTCAGCTGAGTTGTTCTCGATTCCTGTGTTTCTCCCTTCAACAACAGGCACCCGATTCTCCGAACCAGATATTTCTATTATATTTCATACTTCATCGCGACGTCGCGCGACAGTCACCCCCCTCTATTTCGCATCTGTACGCTCTGCGGGGCATCGCGATCTTCTTATCAACTCTCTGTCTCGACTTCTCCCAACTTCAACGCCATATCCTCACAATGGATTCTGCAGCCCGCCAACAGCCTCAAGTTCAGCCTTGTAGATACAAGGTTGGCAAGACACTGGGAGCTGGCTCATACTCCGTCGTCAAAGAATGTGTCCACATAGACACTGGTCGTTACTATGCTGCCAAGGTCATCAATAAGCGGCTCATGGCTGGTCGCGAACACATGGTGCGAATTGCTTTATTGTCCCCTGAAATTCCAGGTCCATTGTCCTTTTCTAATACGCCATGCGCAACGATAGGTTCGCAACGAAATCGCCGTGCTTAAGAAGGTCTCCATGGGCCACCAAAACATCCTTACTCTTGTCGACTATTTCGAGACCATGAACAATCTCTACCTCGTCACCGATCTTGCACTAGGTGGTGAGCTTTTCGATCGAATTTGCCGAAAGGGCTCCTATTTTGAGTCAGATGCTGCCGATTTGGTTCGCGCCACACTGTCAGCTGTCGCTTACCTCCATGACCATGGTATTGTCCATCGCGACTTGAAGCCTGAAAATCTACTCTTCCGAACCCCCGAGGACAACGCAGACTTGCTTATTGCAGACTTTGGACTTTCGCGAATTATGGATGAGGAACAGTTCCACGTTCTGACTACAACCTGTGGTACTCCTGGATACATGGCTCCCGAAATTTTCAAGAAGACAGGTCATGGCAAGCCTGTAGATCTTTGGGCTCTCGGTGTCATCACCTACTTCTTGCTTTGCGGTTATACTCCTTTCGATCGTGACTCTGACTTCGAAGAGATGCAGGCCATTCTCAATGCAGATTATAGTTTCACTCCTATTGAATACTGGCGTGGCGTTTCCAGCCATGCCAAGGACTTTATCCAGCGCTGCCTGACTATCGATTCTACTAAGCGTATCACTGCCCATGAGGCTCTCCAGCATCCATTCGTCGCCGGCTTTATCAATGCCGAGGGCGAGAGCCAGAACCTTCTGCCTAATATCAAGAAGAACTTCAACGCTCGCCGGACTCTACATGCAGCCATTGATACTGTTCGTGCTATCAATAAGCTGCGTGAGGCTCAAAGTGGGATGATGGATGGAGCTCGTTCAAAGGAACCCAGCCGTGGCGCTGCGCGACAGCAGCCGCCTACCAACAAGAAAGGAGATAGTGCCATCTCAATGGGCAGCAACCAACCTAAGGATAGTGGATATGGAACTCAGACAGAGACGGACGTCGTTATGGGCAACACATCAGCATCCAATGTCCCATCTTCATTGCAGCCTGGAAACAACGGAAATAGGGTCATCGAGACATCCAAGGGACTTTGGAGTGCGCCTGCGCCAAAGAGGTAGAGCCAGAATGGCGACGATGTGTCTGAGTTATTCCGAGATCTGCGAAGAAGATATATCAAAGGGAAGCTACCTATGGTGGGACGAAAACATGTTAGAAGAATGATGGTTTAACGTTATGAGGAGGAGATTTTGTAAACCCGCATTTGCGTTATGAAGCGGGCGAAGAACAAGGACATGCGCATGCGCAACGAGGAGGAGAGCGAGGACCAACAGCGATTTGCGTACATGTATTTTCAACAACGGACCGCAGGCACGCCGTTTGCAGCGACTGGAAGGAAGAATCGGTATATCCTATTTTCCATGCATTTCCCTTTGTGTTTCAAGTATGATCTTGGTATTTAGAACGCCCTTTGTGAGGTCTCGTTTTCGAGATGCTTTGTTTTAGAGACCGGTGACTTCGAGGCCCAGGTCAGACATAACGCACAAGGTTCGCATTGAACAGATCCTCGGTCACTTTGAAGTTTATTGCTTCCTCTGCTCCTTATCACTGCTTGTGTTATTTTCCGGAAGATGGGTTTCTGACAGATGAGTTTACGGCCTGAAATCCCTTTTAATCCCCTCGACATTGAGTATAATATACCTTAAGTGACTCTCCTGTGTTGACAGTAGCTTGTTTTAGGCGGAGTAGGATTATTTAATATCTTGTGACCCTGATATTGTCATATGCCAGAGTGCCTTATTACTGACAAATGTGGCGAGCGTCTTATATCAAATACTGTTTTCAAAGGGCATAAATGGATTAGTTCGAAGTTGAAAACCCTCTTGCTCGGAAGTTGAGCAGAGATCGAGAGTTTCAAATCACAGGTTTGTACAACTTAAACTACTGATATTTGCGTACAACCTAGAATACCGGATCGACATCTTGATACTGACACTTCTCAAATCATGACAAAGCGAATTTTAAGACACAGCACTTGCGAATGCCAAGAGGTCAAGAGTGCCGTGCGGACTTGGCGTTTATAATGCCGCTGAACATAACTCGGAGGAACTTCTTGGGCTAGATGAAGATCGACATGTTGAGATTTCGATATCATGAATGGGCCCACCTGATCGCGTGCCAGCTACAACGACTTGTGAACAATAGGTGTCAAGCTGCACATTGGTACTCAGTGAGTATGAAGAAGATTTACAAGGACTTTCACTCTGAGAACAGGATGTGACAGAAACAACGTGCTGTCAATTCTTCTAGCTGCTAATATCTAGCGAATGGTATCTTTGGTATTCCTTTTCCTTTTCACCAAAGTCAGCCCACCTCCTTGCGCCGCCTGGCTTTTGCTCTCCAGGATCATCCAGGATTCGGCTGTGAGCCAATTGCCCTTCATCTCTCCTCCTCCTCATGAGTAGGGGGGGCTTATCATAAAGCATGCCCCTCTCGAGTCGTCCAGGCTCTCTAGCGAGCGTATCGGTGCATGGCATGGCGTCGTCTCATGTCCATACACGAATTAAACTTCCTCTGGTTGTATACATTACTCTATTCAGTTCCGGTTTTGTCCTTCCGCAGGGTATACATTAGAACGGGACACATCAGCCCCTCGAACCCATTATTACAGTTTGCCGTCTGGCCCTGACGGCCCTGCGTCAGAATCCAGCATCTGCCGTAGTAAAGCACCGTGTTGCGCCATTTCGCTGTGCCGATGAATGCCAAAGATGTTATCAAAAAAAAATATAAGGTCGAAGATTAAAAAGGGTTCGGGGCATTAAAATCGTAAAATCCCAACAAGTCGCTTCGTTTCCCCGGTGTGGGATGAGAGTGTCCAGGGGTAGCCGTGTTATTACTCAGTCGTGCCAATTACCGCACCACCACAACTTCACTCAACTCCACGTCTCGAGCAGGAGCGTTGCCGTCCCAGAGCTGTCCATTGTTGTCCATATCCATAAGCATTCCGGGAAGGGCTTCTTCGGATAGAGTTGGGCTTAGGGTTCCGCTACTAGAGCTGCAACTGGAGCTGGCAACAGTCCAGCCATCGCTGGAGTCGGCGCGAGGGCGCCCAAGCAGACCCATACCGAAGTACTCGCCATACTCCTCGTCAGAAATGGCGTTGCGGTCGCCATACTCCACGTACTCGTATTCCCATCGCGTGATCTTTCCCTCCTGTCGTCGGGGTAACCATCGGGCCTTTGCTGCGTAGAAAAAGCAAGAGGCAATCAAGCCACCGACCACCAAATCAATTGCATAATGGTGGCTGAGGTACATAGTGGCCCAGCAGACCCATCCAGCATACATGATGAAGTAAGTTCGGAATTGGGGGAAACAGTGAGACATGAAAAGAGCCTCGAGAACGGCGTTCGCGGCGTGGAGCGAGGGGAAAGCGCCGAAAGGAACAGGTGCAGTGCTGAAATTGGTCGTATAGAGGTCGATACCAAAAATGGCGTCGATACGGGCGAGTCCAGCAGGAGATCCTGGCATGCCGTAGGCAGCAGGTTCAAGACCATGCTCCATCTCGTACCAAGGTGGCGCACAGGGGAAGAGAAGCTGGATGGTGACACCCAGAATACTCATCCAGCCGAAGGTGCGAGCCCAGACAGGGGCGGTACCGGGGGCAGCGAAGACGAACATGAGCAGGGCGCAGACTACAGGAGCGCCAAAATGGCACAGGCCGTAGGGGATCCAGGCAAGAATGTCGAGAACCGAGTGTTGGTGGGCGGAGAGAATGCTCGACAGATTGGCACCGTACAAGACGTTCTCGAGGGCGGGTAGCACGCGGACCCAAATATGAGGTCGGTACTCATTGGGGATAAATCTGACAAGTGTTAGCAGACGACAAATTTGACCTTTGAAAAAAACACATACCGACTACAAAAGAAATACAAGAGCCAGGTCCAGATTGTCACTGATGGCAAAAAGAATTGACGGGTGGCAGGCATAAGCAGAACCCATACGCTACCAATGATAGCCAGGAGCTTGACACCAGGAGCCGGGGGAGCAATCCAGAAGGAGAAGAGAATTAGGAGGCCAACGACAGCATATTGGAGATCTGATGTCCTCCAGTGATGCTTCTGAAGATCACGAACACCATCCCAGGCGTTGAAGGAGGTTTTGAGACTGGTGATCTCCTCATTGCCAGGTCTCGATTTTGATTTGGTGCGTCGACGGCCAATTCGATATCTGTGAGGAACAGTGTTGAGGAATGGCAGATTAACGTGCTCGGGCCAGAGTAGCTGGAGCTTAGGCTTCCCTGAAAGGGTGGCGGAGAAGTCGTTCATGGCGAAGGTCGAGAAAGTTGTTTGGATCGACAGAACGGTGGTTCGAAAGGGGATGCGTGCTGATTATTTGTAGCGTAGCGCAAGATAATTTCGAAGAAATTCGTAACGCGTAGTCGGTAACCCAATATGAATACCCAAAAGCTACCTCATATCCAAGTTGACCTATTTACTTGACTTGCACGCATACAACGATGGTCGGAATCGTCGGGATGGCCGTCTAGAGCGATGGTTGTCGAGTCGCAGAGAAGGGAGGCAGCACGCGACAAGGACGCCACACAAAGAAGATGTGAGGCTAGGACCTGAAGTCGTGACGGAGGAAGATAGATGCTTTAACAAGGTGCGAATCTAAGACGAAACCAAGCCGAGGATCGAGGAGAGAGAGAAAGGGAGGGAAGAAGAAGATGGAGGTGAGGAAATGGGAGTAGTAATATGAAGAAAGTGGAGGGAGTGGAGGAGAGAGGGATCGAGTATGATGACGAGGTGCAGGAAAGCGATGCACCAGGGGCGTGTACCAGTGCAGCTGGCCACTAGAAGCGCTGAAAAACCAAGGTCTTTACAGCTGATTTTGCAACCGTAGTCCGCTAAAGAGCACAAATTCAACAGGGCACGTCGTGCAGGATTCCAGTGGGCGCTAAGCTACTGCCCCCATCACACTCCACTGACATTAGCTTCATTCAAGGGGCCCGCACCGCAGGATTTTCCTCGTCCTCATCTCAAATGAGTCCGGATGCTGCGGGAGGAGTCATCGATACAAGGGTTTGGGGTACCGGCCAGTCAACAAGCCTCAGCGGGGCGTTGTGCATGGATGGCACCCAGGGTCGCCTGGAGATTGCACTGGAGCCAGCGCCTAAGCCTAATCAGCTCTTCTCTGACGCTCAGACGGAGCTCTTTTGTCACTGCGAAGCCAATCAATCAAGACGACACAAACAAAGTTGCTGACATAGCACACTGGCCGGACATCGCGGAGCAACGGGGTTTGCGGCAGCCCGAATCAAGGCGTATTACCGTAATTTCCTTCGAAGCCGCTGCCAAGCCTGATAGGCGGGCTGAGTCGCGTGAGAATTCGCCCTGTCAAATAACGCTTACTTCCCTGCTTTCCGCGTATTGTACCGCCAAAACTTTACCGACCACGTTTTAAACTGAGGGGGAGATGAGATTACCTATGAGCCAGACAAGTCTACAAGTCGACGTGGCAATCTGGAATACTGAGCCTCGATCAATAAAGTCAAATGAGCCGCAGAGCATCTCTTCTCCCCTTGACTTGTCTTAGTCATTCGATATGACCACTCACAATGTAGGAACCGGAGGCAGCCCATGCCCCAGTGATCCAGAAAGCACTGCACGTAGTACATCATTTCAGCCTTGGCATAGCTGCTGGGCAACGATTGACTGAGAACGTTAACGGCCGGCACCTTGCCAACGCAAGCGAACAAGTCTTCTGGACAAGTCCACATGGTTTAAGGTCCAATATATTTTCCGATCAGACTGACTGTCACAATCAATTGCTGCAAGCACCCTTTCAGTCGGCGTCGGAGGCTCGCCAAGCTCCATGGACTCCGAGGTTCCGACTCCGACTTTATCACATCACCATCTGGAACGAATGAGATTGGAAGGGTGATCTGCCGACGCGGATGCACACACACAGCTAGCACGAGGCTTTCCGCTTTCTGACCTCAGCGAGACCCATCATGTGCTAGATTGCACTGCGCTGATGATGACAAGACAAGACGAGACGAGACAAGAACAATCCATGTTCATGACGAGTCTTTGGGTGGCTTGATCAATACAAAGACCCACTCCTTGATTGCATCTTTGTTTTCTGCCATTGATCAGGGTCCGTGGTCAACGATGGTGGCTGATACTTGAAGAAAACGTCACCATCAGAAACGGTTCCCAGACGGTGTCACTTGGCTTCCTCCACAGCCTGGGCATTCTGACTGAACGGAGAGACTCTTTGTTCTGATGGCAGCGTCATGACTGTGGCACAGTGACATGCGCCTGGAAGACTGCCTAGATTCGATTATGGGGACAGACTAAACCAATCAGACCAGAGCGGGAATCTAGGTTGGTGAGTCCGCGTGCCCAGCAACCAGCCGCGGTTGTAGGTTGTAAGATACCTGTGACTCTGACGATCGCTGGCTCAATCTAACGTGGCATTTAACTGTTGATTTGTTAAATTGAACAGCTCATGTCCATGTGTTAACAGTAACATAAGGTACATACAAGGTTGCAATTAGGCGTCGAGAAAGCCTGTCTCCTGCTTGCCGTTGAAACATGGAAGCGACCCGGGGATATCCTCAAGGGGACACTTCCGCTGAGGTCATAATCAATTTGCGCACGCGAGGAAATTTCCTGAAGCTCATACTTGCCTGTGTCTTGTTGTGAGCTTTGTCATTCATGCACCGGCTGCTCCGCCAAGGGAGCAAGGCTTTAACTATTTGCAAACCCCTTAATAAACAAAAGCCAGCCCAATACTTCATGTGTCGATAATCAATCAGCGAGTTGAGCAAAAAATTCATTCATGCTCCTTTCTGAAAAATATGTTGCTCCACTGCAAAGTTTCACAGGCCGCAAACCGAGATGGATGATGAACAACGAACCATTGAGAAGCAATATCCAAAACAAGGATCAGCTCTCTCTTTTGGCGCTAACAAGGAGCTGGGGCCACTGCATCTTTTTTCGTCGCATTCAGATGTGGAAGCGAAAAAGTGATGTGCGTTCAGCAGGTACTCGCGACCAATGTACCTTCTCCAATTCCGCTGCTTCCTCTCCATGGAAGATGCTTACCATCCGTGGCTGTCCATGGAGGCTTTCGATGCAGCCAGGAAGGAATAATCCAACCCATGCTTACTCACACCTGTCTATCATTGACAACTTCCATATGCTGCTGCCTTAATGCTCCAGAGCTCCTCATGTTGTGATACAAGCACCAACTTAACACAGATTACCTTACGCTGGAAGACACGGATACTTCTACTGTTTTAGATGATCAAGGTTGCAAGTCTGAATGCTAATAATATTCGAGCTGCGGCAACAGCGTGCGCTAACTCACGTTAGCGTTAAGCCATTGACTATCGCCAACCTCTGGACTGTGAGCACGAGATATGTTGCTGTATAGTTGCCAAAGTCATCTAAGCAGCCAACTGATATTAATTGTCGGTCCAAAAGACCTGAGTCCATTCCGGACTGGAGTAGACGTACTCGTGATTTCGTTGTTCGACAGCCTCCGATTACCAATTTTAGACTCAGCCCTGCTGTTGACGAAACTCTTGATGGCTCTCCGTGTAACGGTTCAAGTGTTCACAGCTTCAAGCGCTTCGAGTCAAGGGTCAGCTTCAGATACCTAGTCCATTTCACAGGCCATAGGCGCGCGCAGCCCATCCCGTCACTCAGGAGACATACACGCGACAAGGGTCATAGTAACCCCACGAAACACCTACACTTTTCCCTTGTCATTTTGCTGCATCTCGACGTTCACTCGGATGTAGCGGAAGATAGCTTCTCGTTGAGGGTTTACACAAAGGAAACCGTTTGAGCTTTTCTGGCCATTGAGCGAATCAACAGCCAATTAGACCTATTTAGCGCGGCAAGCCTCATCGTCATGACGGTGACGTCCTGCTAGAGGGGAAAAAGAAAAAGGTTATGAACTGAACTCATACTCGTTCAAGAGCTATATTCGCTCCGACTCCGACGCGGAGTTTTCGATGTGCAGTGCGACACTAAGAAATAAATAAAAAATCCAACGGAGACTCTTAACGGTCGTTCGGGTCTTATTTGTCAACGCGTGAGGCGCGCGCCCCGAGGTGAGACGAGGCGCGAGGGCATAATCCGAGGAAATTGAACGTGCATATAGCGTGGATCCTCCGCTCGGGACGGAAGAGAATAAGCAGAACGAGCAGTGGAGGCTCAGGGTCTGAGAGAGATTGGGAGGGTCTCAACGAACAGGGATACGAAACCCATCCAGTCCCTTGGATAGAACAGGTTGGTTGCTGTCTTGTCGCAGCGCATGATCTTGCTGATAAACAACCTGATCAGTATATTGCCATTTCATTGCAATCTCTTTAACACGTTGTCGATTCAGCCGCCCGTGCACGGATTCAACTTGATTGAAACACCCATGCCACAGCTGCAAAAGCCAAGGTCGAATTGAGGCGGACTGGCCCAAGTTCAGGAGATCGCCAAGGGTCCCCTACCTGCGCACGAGACACCGTCACTTGCGATACGCTAGTCAATTGGGAATATGATGGGATGAGTTAGGTAGTTTCAACTTTCAACCCAATCTCAAAGGTAGTTCTAAGTTTCTTGAATATCATGCTTAATAATGTTGCAAACGATTGTGTTCATCAGAGAAGGCAAAAAACACATCATGTCGGTTGGCCTGATAGCATCGTTTAGGCAGAGTCTTGGCCTCGGCTGTTACTCAATATGCTGTTAGTGTCTGACACTTCATGATAAGCACATGCTGAGCTTCAGTTTACAGGCTTGTTCTAAGCTCATCTACTTTGGTCTTCTTGCTGATGCTTGAATGTCTGACCAGAAGCGAGAGGATGTGCGGTACGTGTCTGATTGGGAAACGCTGGTCCAGACCGCATTGTCTGAACACAGGTATGATGACTACTGAATACCGTTGCATGCCTCTCACCCTACCTACAGGACATGAAAGACCAACGCGGTATGCAAGCACACGCCAACAGAAACTAATGCCCAATCAGAAATGCATCATGGTTGATTCTTCCTGGACAAACAGTGATGACTGCTACTCTAGCTCCAGATCCATGCCCTCGTGAGCGACAACTCCAAGGTATATATCATGGATCAGGTATCATGATGCCAATAAAAGCCTGGTTTGGAAGCCCAATGCAGAGGCGGTCAATGCGACGACATCCGAGCGAGCCGCCATAATAGGTAGCATGGGATCGAGGATACTGTCAACCCAATTGTCACCATCCTCTCTTGCGTACTGTACTTGGGCTGAAGCCTAAGTGAGACAAAGTACAATTAACAACTTACTAAACGAAATTTTCGTTCTTGAGCCCCAAAAATCGATCATGGCGGCCGATTACCTTGGTTCCCACAGCGGGTTCAATCTTTGCGAAGTCCGCCGTGGTCCCACCTAATTCAGGTCCATCGAACTTTGCTTTCCGTGTTTGGTTTATTGACTCGGCCGATTTCTTGAGAATTTTTCTTTTTTTTTTAATCACTCACTAATTTGGGGCAATGTCCGTTCAGAAGTCGGGTCTCGGCCCATTGACGGATAAGAAAAAGGAAGGAAATTTTGACAAATTTCTCAGTCACGGACCCGCGGTCGGTAGTTTTCGGCCGGCGTTTGCAGTCGGGGTCCAGGAGAATACCGACCGATATTGGTATGGGACGATTATCGATACAACGAACGAATGCGTATTTGCCGGTCGGTCTCCTGATATGATTGATCACTGCATCAAGATCCCGTTGTCCGAATCTTTCCAAGTGCCCGTGTGCGGTTCCTTCAAGCTTTAGCTCGCTTCAACTTTATCAGACCATACTTTCTATCGTTGCACTCTGAAGGTCTCGTGCAATGCACGTGGTTAATGGTTATCCCCGGCTTTCTGCTGCGTGACATACACCTTGTCTGTATTTCTGCCATTAAGTGGCAGGTTCCGTGATGCATCATGTCGTCTTCAACGTTTTGTAACACTTTGGTGTTCGAAAGATCCATGTAGCAAATGGTGCGAGGACAGGAAGTGAGACATAGCATTCCTCAGTGATCGGTTTGACTCGAGTTTGCCAGATTCGAGCAAAACTCCTTGTTGTTACATATACTATTGTTCAAGGACGCTATCCCAGGGTTACTTGAGATGTCTTACACATTAGTAGCCAATTACTTTGATATTCTTTGGCCGAATGACCTCGTTCGTGATCTCTAGCCCCCACATCTGAATGGCAGCCAGAGACCGCAACCAGCGACGATCGGCTCTTATCATCACTACATGGACTGGTCTACGCTGTCAACTCAACCTGGACATCAGCTCAGTACCCTGTCTAGCCTATGAGGCTGGCGGTGAGAGACATATACAGTGTCTACTCTGTATTACTAGGCAGTCTATGCCTTAGATGTTGGCGTAGATCTGGAGCTACAACTTATACGCATGATCCTACAGCTCTTTCAGGCATCAGATCGACTGCCCAATTATGCATTGTGATACTGGCATCGACTTCAGTGACAAGTACACTCGACTCTCGTATTGTCTATCATTCCGCATGCATTATATTTGTTGACAGTCCTTCCTTTCATCTCTTAGATGCAATGGCGTCAAAACATGGCCGCATGTGAGGCTCTAATATATAGCGAACGTCATCGTGATGTTCCATCCATGGACACCCTAAGAGGCTGGTGAGAAGGGGGGTGTCCTTTCGAAAGGCAGACTAAGAAACCTTACATCGTCTCTGACTTGACTCTGCCGCTTGTTATTCGAGACTTTGTGGAATTGACTTTTCTCATGAATTCCATGACCTGTTGTGGGGATTAGCGTTTCATATTCTAGTTTTGACAGCATAGAAGAGTGGCTGGGTGGCTGTGCTGATGGCTGCTCAAGGGATTTATGGCATTCCCATACTGTCAAAATATAAGTCTGCTCCAAGCAATAGCTTTGAGCTGAATAGGAAGAAAGCGAATTCAGCTTCCAATAATACCTTGTGAGTGACATGGTATTGTCTGTGTGTGGTGATAGCTTGTGTTTGTTTGTTTGTTTGTTTGTGTATTTTTCGTCTGGGTGGCTGTAACGAAGCCAAATCTCCTACTGGAGCAAAAGACGTGCTGA